TTAAGGACTGAGAGGCAAAACAGTTTTTAACAGACACTACAAAAGCCATCCAAACAGTCAATAGCTCATGAAAGATGTTCAGCATCATTAGGCATCACAATAAATACAAGAGAAAAAAATACTCGCCCTGGCTGGTGTGACTCAGTGAATTGAGCACTGGCCTGTGAACCAAAGGGTCGCCAGTTCAATTCCCAGTCAGGGCACATGCCTGGGTTGAGGGCCAGGTCACAGGTAGGGGGTGTGCAAGAGGCTACCACACATTGATGTTTCTCTCCCTAAGTAATAAATAATTTTTTTTCTAAAAGATAAACATTCAATATCATGAGTCAGCAGGAATATGAAAATTAAAACTACACAGAGACACCACTGCAAACCCCTAGGAATGGCTAAAATTACAAAGACTGATAGCCTCAAGTGTTGGCAGATGTGGCACATATGGAACCCTCACAAACTGCTGGTAGGAATGCAAAATGGACAACCACTTCTGAACGCAGTTTGTCTGCTCCCGTGAAGTTACACGTTCCCCTCCTCCCCCCCCAAAAAAGGAATGCCCGTGCCCACACAAAATTCTGTACACAAATATTCACAACCACTTTATTCATGATAGCCAAAAAGCTAATAACATGTAGTTTACTCTTAGATCAAGAACAAAATCAAAACTAAGATGGCATTATTTAAAGTTAACAAAACTGAGGGAGGAGGGTGTTCACGGAGGCTGCTTCCCTGGCGAGAGCAGTCAAGGCCAAGGGCAACATGATCTTCTGGGATCCCCGTGTGACATTCCATTTGAGGCATGTCCACTCTGGCTCTAGCCCCTCCCCGTTCTCCCCTCTGCGTTTAAGAACAACTTGGAGAATAAACGGAGCCCGTGTCACCTTGCCAGGATTCACGGCGAAGAGACACGCTTAGCATAAACTCAGACCTCGGTCCCTCACTGGTCAAGAGTCAGCTGGGAGGAAAACACAAAGGACCCCCGAGCGTCCCGAGTCTCGGCTACATCTACTGCCTCACACACCGTCCAGGGCCAGCGTGGGCACTGCCAAGAGGTCTCCCTTCCTGGGACAATAAAAAGTACATGTGAAGGAATGAGCTACTTTCTGCCGCTCACCCCAGTTCTGGGACCCTGTTGAATTCTCTCTGCCCAGCAGAATTCAGTTTTATGTGCCAAGATCAAAATAAAGATGAGAACATCCGAATTCTTTTTCTCAACCCCAGCTTTTAAAAATTCCTCTATGAAACACTGATAAAAGACGTGAAGCCCAATCAGGAATTCATTGCCTGAGATCTTGTCAGGAGGTCGTTCTAAGAATTAATGCATGTGGTCTAATGTACCCATAATTAACAATCTTGGACTTCTACACACTTATTGTTGCAAGAAATGTACACACACATATGGATGTGGTCCAAGTTTAACATGTGGCCCAAATTAAGCATATAAGCATTGTTCCTCCAGAAAAAAATTGCAAGGGGGAAAAAAATCTAGAGACAGCAACTAAACCAACCTCAACTCCCAGCTGGCTTCATTATCCTCTTGTCCTCAATGTAATAAAAAGTTCCAGGATTTATACCCAAACAACTGGGGGGAGGGGGTGGACTTGCTCTGAATAAATTTTAAAGTACTTAACTACTTAAATCAAGCCAGCCCAATGCATTATTTTATAACTAGTACAAACTGTTAAGCCCTCGCTCATTAAGGATGTTAACACCTAAATAACGGGTGGAAGCGAACCTTTCATGTGTGTGAGACAGAATTTTAGAAAGTGCAAATCACACAGCAAGGAGCAAAGCAGAGCCCTGTGGTCACTGCTGGTGACTTTGCACGGCCAGCCTCCGCCCCTGCCGCTCTCCTCTGCCCGTCCCCGGTCCAGGGACACTAGACATTCCTCACCGGGACAACACTGCTTCGGCCCGGAGGGCTCTGTAACTGCCAGGCCCACAGCCAGTCACGCTGGTCTCAGGGGACAAGTTCTCCCCACCCGCACACCACCTCCCGAGACACAGCCGAGTGGCTGGAAATCGCCCACTTCTCCCACCACACGGCACCCACCTGGCACAGCAACCCCCGTGACGCCTGGGAAGTACAGCTGGGCCGCTCCAGAGAACAAGCGCCCTTTACCTAAGCGCCACGTAGAGCCAGACACACTTGGGGAAACCTGCCTGGGTCGGCCCTGCCCCTCCGTGCACAGCTGGCAGCGGCCTGTGTGCTCTGTGGGCCCACCCAGTTCAAGCTGCTGCTGAGACAGTTCCTCCCGACAACTGACGGCGCCGGGCACTGCACCCCTGCCCAGCACCCTCACCACGGGGGTGGGCAGGGCCGCTGCTGGCCCCGAAGCTCTGCCCCCATCCGAGGGCCCCGCCAGGGGCAAGCGCCCCTGCAGCAGACCCGGACCCCTAAGGGGTTACAGAGGAAAAGTCCCTCCAGGATTCTGGAGGGAAGGCTGTGTCCCCAAACTCCAGCTCCATATTTTAGAAGCAGTGGGAACTTACTGCCAGGACTCCAGTCAAAGCGGGACAGGGTTGGGACTCTCCGAACCTGTGGTCTGAAGATGGGGTCTGCGGACCAGCCTGCGCACCAAACCACAACGCGTGAGACAATGTCAGTGGAAAATGACCAAGGGACACACACGTGCAGTGCGTCCTGTGTCTGTCAGGGCCGCCTCCTCCGCAGACAAAGCGGCACAAACAAATGGTAACACTTTGTGAGGATGGCTGGGCATGCGCCTGGTGGAGACAGGGGTCAGCAGTTTACACTTCAGCCACAAAGACCCCCAGGAATGGACTGAAGAGGCAGCTTAACACATCCTGCTTCCGTGATACCTCACAGAACTCTTCATACCGCATGCATTTTAAAAAATGATCAGCTCACATTCCCATTCTTCAAATGTGTGCCAGCATTAAAGAACTTCCAGGCAGTGTTATCTCAAAAACTACACGAATTTTTGACACACACATATACCCCCACCCCCTCCAAAAAAAAAAAAAAAAGGCAAAAAGAAAACGTCTTAACAGGTATTTAGGCCAAGGTATCCATTTAAAACAGGAACAAATAGGAAGACGCTCACTTGGCAGGTACTGGGCTGAGCGCAGAGATTACACCCGGCTCCGGAAAAGCCTGCGTGGGAAGCCACAGAGCAGGAACGGACAGACCAGGGGAAGATGCGAGCAAGCCCTCTGAACTGCCTGGGAGATTCACTGTCCTAAGGACAAGCTAACACACCAACTTGAAATACACCCTCAGGCCGCAAACGGCACACGCATTGCCCTGCAGGGCACGCCAGCACGTGCTCAGTTCTGCCTACCTCTGACAATAGGGAGAAGTATTTAAAGATACAAAGGCCACTTTCTACTAAACCCAGAGTCCCCCTGCGCCTGCAGATGAGGTTAAAGAATGCAGCAGGTTCAGGACGCTGTGATGACTGAACTGAAGCAAAAGTAAACCCCCTGCCCCCACACTGGCCACACAGTATGGGTCTTCCCTGGAGGTCAACTTTAACCTTAACTATGACCAAATAAATTCCAATTTGCTAACAGGAGCAAGACTTGCACATCGCCAGCCCAACTGGGTGAATTGCTTAGCAGTAAGGTTGGCCGCAGCAGCCATTACTCCAGAACTCCTTCTCGATGTCAGCGGCTGCTGCCGGACCCTGTACAAACCGCAGTCCTTGGTAACCGTGCACCTCGGGGCTGCTGGCTGGCCTACGCACTGCTGTGCGGGGAGCGCACCCTCCCGCAGCCCTCCCCCTACGAAAAGGGAAAAGAAAGAGAGCGGGTTTTTCCAAAGAGTTTCTTCTGTGAGCTCAGCCTCGCTCTCTGTAGGACCATAATTTCTGCACGTTCTGAACCGGGGGGGGGGCGGGGGGGGGGTGCTAATAAAACCATCTCTGGTACAAGGGAAGAACTAGGACCCCCTTAAGCCCACCACAAACTCAAAGTTCAGCTCAAAGTGGGCGCTACTTCGCTTTAACCTGAGAAGTAATTGGCTAGTGCCAGGGAGGGACTGTAGATTGTTCACTAGCTTTACTGAACTTTTCATCCTGATTCCTTTACACCAAAGTTTAAAAGAAAAGGAAAAAAAGCTTAATTTTCCATCATCCTACATAGTCCAGAGGTTGGTAAGAAAAATTCTCGGCATTGGTGGTTCCCCAGCGCCGGGTTGCCTCGCCTTCGCAAAAAACTAAAAGCCCTCGATGGGACCAGCGATTATACAATCATGGTTCCCAGAGCAAAAGACTCCACTAGAATAATCCACATGAGACAATGACATCATGTGAGCAACTAGACAGGAAGTTAGGCTCAGAGAAGCGAAGGGTGAAGCCTTCCTTGAAAGCCAATACAGAATGACCACCCCAAATTAGTCCACCAACAAAAAAAATCACTTTCTGTGGAAATGTTACTTTACGAAAACAATGAAAAACCCAAAGGGAGGAACTCGATGAGTAAATGAAACCAAAACCCCAACTCCAAGGCCATTTGTGCGGGTGAGCCTCCCCACATTCAGGGGCCTCGGCAAGCCTCACTAGTGGAACTTAGAGGAAACGTGGAGTGGGAACAAAGCAAAGCTGTAGTTCCTGCGTCCTCCAACTTTCGCAGGCGCGCCGCTGGGAGAGGGCAAGCGCTGGGCGTGAAGGTTCCCGCAGCGTGTCACCCGGACGGGTCGCGCGGCAGCCGCCGCTCACACACAAAGCAACCCCGGACTTAGTGACAGCCACAAGTGGCCGGGCAGTAGCCCCCGGGCCAGCGCCAGGACGCCGCGCGCCCCGCGCCCCCGCCCGTGCGCGCGCGCGCGTCCCCTCCTTCGGCGTCTCTTCCTTCACTACCACGCGGGCAACTTTCCATCCGGGGCGGGTGGCTGGGGGGGTCGGGGATGGGGGAGCCCAAGCCTGGACTGGAAGCTACTCCGGGACCCCAGTCCTTTCCCTCGAGGGCCCCCGCCCCCCACCCAGACCCACTATGCGCCGGGGACACCGCGAGGAAAGCCTGTGCCCGGGCGGGCCACCCACCTGCACAGCTCGGGAAACTCGGGGCCCTGGGCCCTCGCGGCCCCCGGGGCGCAGACGAGCAGCAGCAGCTGCAGCAAGATCAGGGAACGCGGCGGGCGGCCGGCGGGCGCGGGCCCCAGGTGGGCGCTCCGGCCGGCGGCGGCCCCCATCTCCCCGGGCCCGGGCTGCGCGGCGGGCGCGGGACTAGCGGCGCGCGGCTGCCGGGGGCCGCGCCCGGGACATAGTCGCGCCGCCAGGGTGGAGGCGGAGCAGAGCGCGAGAGGAGCGGGAGCGGAGTGAGAGCCCGAGGGGCGCGCGGCTCGGCTGGGCTCGGCGGCGGCTGCGGCGGCGGCCCCGGAACCGCGTCACGTGACCGTTGCCCGGCACCGCCCCCTCCCCCGCCCCGCTCACGTGACTCCCTTGTTCAGGTGATCCCCGCCCGCCGGGCTCCGCCTGGGCCCGGTCACGTGAGCGCCCCACGCGCGGGGTAGGCACCCGCGCGGCGGGGTGGGGGAGCGCAGGTGCAGGGGACTGCCCTTCGTGGGGACCTGGCCCGGCCTCAGTTTTTCTGAGTCGCCACATGGGCGCTTCCCAACTTGGAATAGCCATTTCCCTACTTTGACACACAGGGAGGGGACATGAGAGGCCCCAAGTGCCCAGGCGTGAATGCTACTGCACAGCTGTGTTACTTTGTATCCTGCCCGACGGAGTCCAATCAGGGAGCCCTGCCGGGAGCTTTCCAACCTTTGCCCAGCAGCGCCTCGCACAACCTTCTGCGGGAACATTTCCTGGGTGTCTGCTTCCTACAAAGAGGAACGAGGCACGAGTATAGAACTGTGAACTATAAGAAAAGCAAAAGTGTGAGTGTCAAGCGGATGCCACTCAACAAAGCTTTATTAATTCCTCTATTCAAGTATTGGGTTTGCCAAAAATTCCATTTAGTTTTTTCTGTAAAATAAAAGACACATTTTTCATTTTCACCAATAACCTGATTGATTTGGATATTTTGAGGATGCCGGCCATCTCCCGCTATTGGCTTCTAGCAGGGAAAGGCCAGAGGTGCTGCCAACCGTCTTCCAATGCATGAGACAGCCCCACAGCAAAGAGTTACCAAGAAACTTTGTAAACCACTTCTGACAAGGTTGATCAGCCACAGTACCTTCTCCACACATTGCACAAATCTTTCTTGTGTTTCAGTTGAGTTTTTACCTTTTTTGAAATAATAAAGCATAATACACTGAAAGTATTGTGTACTTCTTCCATCTTCAATATTAAAATGGCTGCACAAAAATTCACCAATTTTGATATTTTTTTAAATGTGCACTGATACAGCAGCTGTCACAATACAATCTAACAAAATTGTTTCAAATGAAGTTAAAAGACAACTAAGCACTTAGAGCCATCCTACAGGAAAAACTAAATGAACTTCTTGGCCAACCCAATATTTTGTGAACCCATACCCTGTGAGTGTCTCTGGGCAAGGCACAGTGAAAGTAATGAGACTTGCGTGCAATTTACTTTCTCTTACAGCAATTAAAATGTACAGAATAATCCAATGGTAACAGCTCATTCCCCCCCCCCACCGCTGCCCCCGCCATGCTTGCTCCGAACCAGACACTGCTAGCAAGTAACAATCTTGAATCCAGTCATCCATGAGGCAGGAACCTTGTCACAGATGACAGCGGGAGGCGGAATGTTAAGTAACTTAAAGGACAGTTTGAGTTGCGGCAAGCTTGGATTCAAACACACACAAATAATCATGACTCAATACTAGTTAACATTTATTGAGCAGGTAATTATGTGCCATGGAACATATTGGTGCTCTTATGTAGCTTATTTAATCCTCAGGCAATCCCGTAAGAGAGGTATCTTTATTGCACCATTTTATACATCAGGAAACTGAGGCACAAAGAGATTCAATGACTTTCAGGCCATGAAGCTAGTAAGTGAAAAAGCCAGGGTTTGAGCCCAAGCCAGACACAATGCCATACTGCCCGTGGCTTAGCCACTAGGCCACCCTGCCCAAGAATAACGCTGCCCCAGAGTAAAACCCTGCCCAAACGGAAGTGTTGCAGTGGCTCAGACGCTGTGCCCAGGTGTCCAAGTAGGGGCATCAAGAAAGGATTTTGTACAGGCAGAAAATTTTTCTTCTACCCTTCTAGGTTCTTTGGCTGGTCTAATTAAATTGACATAAAACAGATTAACAGGAGAAAAACCAACTAGAGTTTCGTCCATATGGGAGGCCAATGAAATATGAGGCCCAAAGGTTAGGCAATTGAAGCTTCTCTCCCACCCTGCACTAAGAAATGGTGTGGGCTCTGGGGCCTCAGAGGAGAAGAGGGTAATTCTCAAGGCCCTGAGAAGGCCAGATTTTGATCAGCAGGTATTTGCTCTCAGCTGCAGGTCCATCCCTCAGATTAAAAAGTTAGCTCTGCTAAGAGCTCTTTTTCTGAGGCAGGCTCTCTATCTAAATTCTTTTAGACAGTAACAGGAGAGAGAGAGGTTTTTCTAGAGCCCACTGAGTCTTGATGGCTTTCAGCTCAAAATAACGCACGTGCCAAAGTAGCACATTTTGAGGTGGCATATTCCGCTCTCTTCAGGTTCCTATTTTTCAATTCCAGTGTTCTAATCGAGCAGGTAAAGATCTGCAGTGGATTCCCAAACCACCAGGTGGAAAACTACTGCAAACTGGAATATTCACTTTGTCTCAAGGTATTTTTTCCTAATAAAGAGAAAATATGTGTACATTTTACACACATGGACAGGTGTGGTAGAACCACCTTAATAAGTGATTTAAATTAATGTCACCAATATTGTAAAAAACAAAAACAAACACTAAGACTTTCTGCTTCCTAGAGTGATGCAACAAGTAATACTGCCAAAGGATAACATTTAAAAGAGTATAATCATGACTCAGAATGCAGATGTGAAATGAACATGTGTCAAAGATATTATTTAACTCGTTAATCAATGTAAGAACCAGTTATATGTTACAACTGGTTCAAAGATGCCTCCAAAGAGAATCCAGCACATACTTCAGGACGTCTAATAGATAGAAGAGATCTGTATCCATATCCATAGGTCAAAAATCAACTGCGTGTCTAATGGACACCATTTGCATTTCTAAAGAGAATAATGATAGACAATACCATCAGAAGTCTAAAAACTACAGAGCTGTAAAATAGCTCAAAGACAGTGAAAGGCACAACCTACATAAAGTTGGATGACCTAGAGGGTGCACCACACAATATCCAGCTTTCCAGTGAGGTTACCCAATATATTTGGTCCATTTCAAAGTCTTTCACAATCTTGCCTATGACACGAAATATCACTTATATGGTATTCTTGCCAACCTGAATCTAACTGGAGAGAAACAATCAAATCCAGATTGTAGAATATTCTATAAGAAAACTGAACTGGACAATTCAAAAACATCAATGCTCTGAAAGGCACTCCCCCCACCCCACAAGGAAACGCAGGAGGACTGTTCTAGACCAGGCTAGCAAACAATAGGCTGAGGGCCAACTCTGCCCAGGCAGCTGTTTTGTAAGTACAGTGTTATTATAATACAGACACACCCATTTGTATATGCCCTGTCTTTGTGGCTGCCTTTGTCTACGATGGCTGATGAGAGTTTCCACAGAGCCTGCAAGCATAAAGCATTTCAACATCTGGCCCTCTGCAGCAAAAGTGTGTAACCTCTTCCCGAGCTCAGCGCTTTGCAAAGGGGTGGCCTGGGAGCAGCAGCTTTGGCAGACCCTGCCGCTTATTGGAAATGTTGATCCACGTGCCCCGCCCTGACCTATTGACTCCAAGGCTCCAGCCAATCCCCACCCATGTGAAGCTCTGAGAAACGCTGTCCTGGATTAAAAGAGAGCAAGACTAGGCAACAAAATGCAATGCATGACCCTTACCTGGAGCCTAGACCCCCAAAAAGGAAGGGATCAGGGGCACTTGGGGGATAATTGGAAACACTTGGATCAAAATTGCACCTTAGGAACCCCAAAGTCAAATGGTGTGGGGGAGGACTCCCCTGTGTTTCAGTTACATTTTGCAGCAAACCTTGAAGAAAACAGCCTTGGAGATGTTAGCCTAAGTCCCCATGTGATGGCTTTAATAGGGACCACAGGCCACTTTCATGTATGTTTGGAACAATTTCATTGGGGTCATTTCATATAGGATCTTAAATGGTCACTTAAGAAATTTAGATTTCCTTGGATATAAAGTGAGGAACAATAATAGCTGACAAAATAATATTTATTAAAGACTCACTGTATGTCAAAAACCATTCTGCATTATATCACATACTCATCATAGCAAATCTAGGAGATGGTGCTTTTATTACCCTCATTTAAAAGATGAGAAGGTCACCCTAATAATTTCAATAAAAAGGAAAAAAGGGAAATTCAAGCATAAAGAAATTAGATGCTTTGCCATGGTCATGCGATTAGTAAAAGGCATGACATGAACTGTATGATCCGGTACAAAAGCCCATCATTTTAACTCATAAACTACCTCCTCCTTGAGAGATTTGGAGCCTGAGAGAGGGAGGGTCACAGTTATTCACCTGGTCGCCGGAGAGACCAGAAGCTGCTTCCATAAAAGTATCAGAATTAAGGTGACAAAAGAGACAGCAGGACACCCTTGGTCTTTCCCCAAAAACCGGTTAATGCCAGGCCAAGAGTAGCATTCAGGTCTTGTGACGTCTAGGGCCGCTGGGTACCGTGTGACGGGGAGAGCGTGGCCCCGGGAACGGGCGCGAGGGGGCAGGGGCGCGGGCAGCCGCGGGCAGCCGCCTGCCTGCGGGCCTTCCGAGCTGGCAAAGACCGCCTCCCAGCGCAGAGGCAAACGCGAGAGACCCTCGCATGTCAGCCATTCTTAGAGCCTGCAGGAGGGCAGGGGACCCAGGCCCGACCACGGAAATCGATGGGGCGTCTCCTGGCACCCTCTGCGAAATGCTTTCCCCTCTCATACACAGCCACGCAGAGAAGGAACTCCCACCGCCCCACCCCCGTGCGTGATCGCAGTGCTGCCTGCAAAAGGGCACCGGCAGCGGCCACAGCCCCGGAGCCCGGGGAGGGGGAAGATGCGGCCAACACGGCACAGGAAAGAGGGAGACCGTCAAGGTCTTTGACGACATTGTCAACCATGTCACCAAAACCCTGGAACTGGCCTAGTGTCAGATCATTGGCTTTGTGGCACAATAAATAAAGGTGCTCGAGCCATATGTTTAGTTAATAATTTATCTCCTCTTGGCTCCAAAGATACCCATCCATATGTGCTCTGTGATCAACGAAGGAATTCTTTCAAATAGTTCTCCTTTAGGGTGAGCGTGTCGTTAAGCTTTCCGAGCGGAACACA